CTCCCCTCCCCTCCTCTCCCCTCCTCTTCTCTTCTCTTCCCTTCTCTTCTCTTTGACATGGTCTAACTCTGTTGCCCAGGCTGGACAGCAGTGGCATGATCACAGCTCACTGCGGCCTCAACCTCTGGGGCTCAGGTGATCCTCCTACCTCAGACTCCTGAGTAGCTGGGACTACAGGTGTGGACCAACATGCTCAGCTGACTTTCTAAATTTTTTTGTATAGACAGGGTCTCACATCAATGGTTAAGCTAGGCTAGTCTAGCTTAATGATTTACTGAGTTAGGAAATATCAGAAGGAAAAGAGATTTGTAGAAGACTGAGTTTTGGGGACATTGGAATGGAGATGTTTTGTTAGCAGTTGGTGAGAGATCTGAGTTACAGCTACAGATTCGGAAGTGTTCAATGAGGTGAGAGTTGAAGGCATGTGTGTAGACGTAGTACAAGAAGAGAGGGCAAAGGATGGGATTCTATGAGAAACTGAAGTTTAAAACAGAAGCAGAAGAAGAGGAACCTTAATAAGTGTCCAGAGAAAGCAGTATTAGTATATGTAAGCAGTATTAGCATACATAAGCAGTATTAGTATACCTAAGCAGTATTAGAATATGTAAATATTTTACATATTCTAATTTATTTAATCCACCCAAGTATAAGGATCTTTGTTTTGTGTACCGATATATACCAAGCACCTAGAGCAGTGCCTTGGAACACAGGTGATCAATAAATATTAATTGTTGAACGAATGAATTCTCACAAGAATACAATTAGCTAAATACCATGATTACTCCCATTTCCCAGATGGTGAAACTTGCTCGAAGTTGCACCGCTAGTAATTTGTAGACCTGGAATCCAAGTAGCCTGGAACTGGTGTATCCAGGACCCAAACCTCGTAAGTGTTTACAGACTGGACCAGGAAGTTGAAGTATTTACTTGAATGACCTCTATTTTCTCCGGGAAGTAACAAAAAAAGATCAACTTTAAAAAATGGAAATGTTTGTAAAAGTAGTGAAGGTAAAGTTTACATATCTTAAGCTACAGTACAGGATGACATAGAAAAAGCATGGAAGATGACTGGGAACAGTGGCTCACACCTGTAATCCCATCACTTTGAGAGGCGAGACCCTGTCTCAAAAAAAAAAAAAAAGAAAAGAAAGAAAGAAAGAAAAGGCATGGAAGGCTGGGTACAGAGCTCATGCCTATAATCATGGCACTTCGAGAGGCAGAGGCGGGAGGATCTCTTGAATCCAGGAGTTTTAGACCAGCCTGGACACTGTGACAACACCCTGATAAATAAACAAAGTAGCCAGGTGTAGTGATGCACTCCTGTAGTCCCAGCTACTCAGGAGGTTGAGGCAGGAGGATCATTTGAGCCCATGAGTTTGAGGTTACAGTGAGCTATGATTGTGCCACTGCACTCCAGCCTGAGTGCAGACAGAGTGAGATCCTGCCTCAAAAAAAAAAAACAAAAAAAAAACAACAAAAAAAAAAACAGCATGGAAAGCCTGACTTGGAGTCTGCCTGGAATTCCCCCATTTTTCATTGCCAGCACGAACTAAGCTCCCATGTATCTGTCAAAAACTTAACGGTGTAACAAAAGTCTAGGGTTCTTTACCAGGGTTCTAAATAGAATATCAGGAAAAAAAACAGCTCTTATGCCCTTGCCAAATCTAATACTTAATCCTTCAAGTTCTTTACAGAGGGTAGAAAAAGCTGGGGAAAAGGTAAGTAAATGGTAAAAGTCAGGGAACTTTCTGTTTAGGACTAAATCAGGCTGGTTTCATCACACCATGTTCACATGATAGATTAAGTGCTTCCTTCAACAAACAATACCACAATATGTACAACAACACAAAGATACTTCTATTGTCAACAATTTACCTTGACTGAGAAAGTCATATCAATGCTGACTATTGCACTTAGATGAGCCAGATGATAAATAGATGGCCCAACACAACCCATTCCCAACATTATAAAGACACAAGTGCTGGGTGAGATAAGTTAATGCCTGCAATCCCAGCTCTTTAAGAAGCTGAGGCAGGAGGATCACTTGAGCCCAGGATTTCAGGTTATAGTGAGCTGTGATTGCACCACTGCACTCCAACCTGGGCAACAGAGTGAGATCCTGTCTCTAAAAAAATTTTTCTTTTAAAAAGGGGTACCGGTGTTAAGGAAAGTATGTAAAAAAGAGGGATGAGAAAAAAGAAAGTGAGAATTGGGAAAATATGGGGAGATGGGAAGGGCCCGGCTAGAAATACAGAGTCAACTTTTTTTTAGTTTAAAAAGTCTCAATCAACTACTAAAAAATATTACTGAATGAGGTACAAAACATTATTTTATACGTGTTATTTTGAAATCATACTTACCAGCAGTTGTTTTCAGGAAGTGATGTGGATGACTATACTTGAATGAAGGATAACCAAAGAAACACACATAATTTGGCTTCAAAACATGAACATTACCACATGTTTGAAAATAGCGAACACAAATCTACAGATGAGAAAACAAAAAGTAAAACCATTTATAAACGATTACACTGGCTTATCTCTAAGTATAAACTGAATTTCAATTCTATTCTAAAAGTAGAACCATTATCACAATAGAAATATGATATCCTTAGATTTAGATTTGTTACATTTATGATCCTTGCTCAAAATTCCTTCTGAAAGTAAAGACATTTTAACAGTGTATTCTGTATAAATACATCAGCTTATAGGTATGCTTCAATCATTGGACTTCCTGAACTAAAACTACTAAAGAATTCTAAAGTAACAGTTAGCATCTAAAAACAATGAAACACTTGTATAGTATGATACCCTCAAGTTTACTTATAGTAACTTACAGATGACTGTTTAGCATTCACTATTTTACATAGTACCTTAGTATAATATTATTTAAAAACCTCTTATAGAAATCAGTAGGTCCAAAAGTATTCAACTCTACATATTAAAACCTAAGTGTCTGAAAGGTATTGTGTGTGGGGGGGTGTGTGTGTGTGTGTGTGTGTGTATTTGAGACAGGGTCTCACTCTGTTGCCCGGTCTGGAGTGCAGTGGTGCGATCACAGCTCACTGAAGCCTCGACCTTCTAGGCTCAAGGGCTCCTCCCGCCTCAGTCTTCCAAGTATCTGGGACCACAGGTGCATGCCACCCCACCCAATTAATTTTGTTTATTATTTGTAGAGATAAGGTCTCACTATGTTGCCCAGGCTGGACTTGAAGTTCTGAGTTCAAGCAATCTTCCCGTCTCAGCCTCCCAAAGTGCTAGAATTACAGGTGCGAGCCACCACGCCAGGCCATAATATCTTATTTTGAAAGTTAATATTTTAATGCTATTAATACCTAACTACATCACACTGTAAACATAAACTACAGAAATGTATTTACTTATTTAATTTTAAAACCCTGAGCTTACTTCTCTGCAGAAATTTCTAACCTTCTTAGCATAAGAATACTGATAAGTGAAACTTATTCATGTATGTAACAGAATCACTTTTACTTTAAAAAAAAATCATGTACATTAGTGGTGATT